AAGAAAAAAATAAATTAAAACTACATGCAGAGATTGACTGAATTGTTTTAATGATTGGATCTAAAGTTCTTGAAATGGCTCAGTTTGTTTCATCTAATGTAGCAATCTGAAGCAACTCGTTTTCAGTTCTTGAACATAATTTTGAAAAAAGAAAACATTGTTCTCACAAAGGTTATTTGGTGAGAACCATAATCTCTTAAAGATAATGCTAGATTCTGAAGACTGACCATTGATGATGCTTCTGGTTCCATGGCTGAAGAACACAGAACAAAGACCCCCTCCAAAATTTTTTTAAAAAAACTTACTGACAAATGTTTATTCCTTACTCTAACTTAATTATATTCTTTGCAATTATGTATTATACAATGTTTTCCCTTTGTCCTAATTTTTGCATCTCTAGTTTCCTAATGTCAACTTTTTATTAATTCCGGTGGAAAATTAATCAAACCTATTTTCATACAGGGCTTGGACTATTTCTTCCCAAAGCTGTTTTACTGTCATTTTAGGGTGGTTTTTTTTTTTTTACTTCTTTCATTTATTTTTTGTCCATTCTACTCTCTCCAGGTCTACTATTGATAACCATGAAAAATGGTTTGTCCAATATTCACTAATTCTCTCAAACTTTCATCACATTCAGTACAACCAAATTAAATGTGCTTTTACATTAATTGCTTTGCCTTGTGTACATGTTAATAGATTTATGCCTAAATAAGTATTTGAAACAGAACAGGATTTAAACATTAGTCTATAAGTACATAAATAAATATCAGAACACAATATTATGTGGTACATAATTGGTGACATTTTTACCATTCCATAGCCATTTTGGGATTTTAAATACAAACTGAGGTTTTTTTTCCTGCTTTCTAAATTCTAAATTGCTCAATAGAGAATTGCAGGAATCAAATTGTTTTGTTCCATGAAAATAGGACAAGACAGTAATCTGATTTATGCAATTATTTGCCAATTAAAGTTTCCTTTTTAGAGAAACAATCTTTCCTAAACAATAAATAATTCTTAATTGTGCAGAATCACAGGTATGTACTGTAGAGGGAAAACTTGCCAGTTTGCCTGGGATCTGTTGCTGCTTGTATACATAAAGCTGTTTTTTTAGTCTCTGTTTGACCTAAAAATATTATTGATGACTGTGATCCAGCAAGGCAAATCAGTATAAAGCACAAACATGAAGTTGATTATTTGCCTCTTGGTCCACATCTGCTTGAAAAAGAAAGGCTGATTTCAGGTGCCCCTTTGCTCTACACTCCATCCAATTTAACTAGAAAAACTGATGATTTTGCTACGGGAATGTGTGGGATTGGAGACAGAACATGTCAAGAAAAACTGGAGGTTGAGGGTAGCTCAGCACTGAAGGAAGGATTAGTTGAAGATAGTCTCCACTTTATTATCCCTTATCGGGCCCAGCAGCACTGGGGTTGTCTGATCAATCACTCTTGGATGAAATTGTCCTCTAGTGCTATTTCAAATAAATCCTTTCATACTTATTAACCATTTCCATGCAGACTTCAATCTGAATTTGGAAGCAAAAAACATTAATTCCTATAGGATGGTATTTGCTATGAAAGGATCGAGACAACTGTGATCCCATTAATTCACTTGTATTAGGTAACATTACTTGTTTAGTTCTTTGGACTGGTTGACAGAACCCCCACTTGGTATCGTTTCCATTCCTCCTACCAGACTGATCTCACAGAGTATTCCATATTTACATGGACATATTGTTGGAATAGATCACCCAAATATTTGTGCTGAGATATTATTAATATATTGATGGCACCCCGCAGTGTCCCTCTGTTCGATCAGGGGCAGGTGAGTCAGTTTCAGTTCAGTCAGTAATGGGCCAATATAAATACAATGACATTTTGTTTAGATTATGTACTATTGCCAGTAGATGCTCCATCCAGTTGATCAGACTTTCACCTGAGAATTAGATTAGCAGTTCCAAGTCCTTATCACTAGAAGCTCAACTCTTTTCTAGTCAAGAAGCTACTTTTATTAAATTCACTCAGTATGCTAGCTATACCACTATATTTATGAAGCCAGCTGGGACAGAGATATCTATGTGCAAGAGATCCCCATTTAACTTGCTGCATCTGTATCTTCATGGACTGAAATACCCAGCTGTCTTTAAAAGAAGTGCAAAAATGAGAAACTGGGTGTTTCAGTCACATGATGCTCACGTCCCAGTTCATTTTAAGACACAGTTTAAATATCTTGCATTCCTTTATAAAGCCCAGGATAAATAGAAGGATGATATTCCAGCTTAATTCTATTTTTCTTTACATTCCATTTCAAGGAAGCAATGAATATTCTTAAACCTTACCTAAGTTTGATAATGAGCTGTAAGTTGGAATTAAATCCAAAGACGACAGTGGTGCTGTTTGACAAAGAGAAACTAGACCAGGGACTAAGTTAAGCCTATTTTGAAAGGGGTTACAGTTTGGCATCTGCTCCAGTATTAATTTAAACTTAAAATAAAAAAGCTAGGAATATTAGAAGCTGTACAGTCAAAAGAACTTCCCACTTTTTCCATTATATTGAATGGGAAAGGGGAACTCCCCATTCCTCTAATTGACAAGAAAAAATTCTTAAGATTTAATACTAATGCATTCAAGATATTAATCCAGTTATACAAAAGATCTAATGTTACAAAAGATCTAATGTTACAAAAGATCTAATGTTACAAAAGTTTTATCCAAGATATAATGTTCAGTAACCATGTGGAGTGCCATAATAGTTTGCATGATGAAAATAAAGAGCTGATGAATCTCTGTGTGTACAACTCCTAGTGAACACGTATATTTTTTTCTATGATGATCTATCCCTAACCGGGTCCTTCAGTTCTTTAATGGTGCACCCATGGACCCTGGAACTCAGTCCATCTATTTTGCTGCTGATCGTCCTCTTCTTCTCTTTCTTTCCATCTTTCCCAGCATTAGGGCCTATTCCAGAGATCCACCTCTTCTGAGCAGAATAGTGTGTATGTGTGTATCTCTGTGTGTGTGTGTGTGTAAAACACAGAAAGGAAATACATAATAAATTGTCTATAAAATGCTACTGATATGAAAGGATCAAGTAGCAATATGGCTCCACATCTGAAAAACATTTTTAATCACTATTTTTTAAAAAATGGTAACAAACATTAAAAATCCAAACATGGAGAATTGAGCACTAATTACCAATATTTTATTTCAAGAAGAAGATGTATCTTTATAGCCCTCCAAGAAGATGACTCACTTATTCAAAGAGAACAGCAATAATAGATGAGCACTTTTACGTGGCCTAAATGATAAGCGGATTCCACAAAGGAGACCAAAACCAATGCCATATTGGATGTCTACATTACCAGCCACAAAATATTAATAAGTCCACAAATGCTGACCATCCTTGTGGAAGGATACAGGAAACTAATTGGTTGAAATATGGACCAGTGATCATTTCTGACAGTTGTTAAGGCATTTGTCTTGGATTTGTGACTTTGTTCACCGAAAAATCTTATTCCCAAAGCCACATATTAAGCTAATCTAAAGCCTAATCTGTGCCTTAGTTTAGAACCTCATTTTTAAGTTGCGACAAATAATTTTTTTTCTTCATCTGATACAAACAAATGTTGAAATCAGAATTGATAAAAGGGAAGCATGGACAGAACTGATCAAGAGGAGATGAAAGTGTACTTTAAAAACTTATTAAAAATAATCAATTATTAATTAATAACAATTTTCCGATACCTGTTGCTCACCTAGGTTTCCTGTACTCCTACAAACTTGCTGGGCTCCTTCTACCAAGAGAAAGAACCTTTCCATTTTCAGATGATCACCCTGGATCCAATACAATATATATTGATATTTCAGCAAGAAGTATGTTTAAAAAGAAATAGAACAATGAAAGGGCATCTTCAGGATCTGCCAATTGAAATTGCAGTCCAAATTCCATTTGCTTCTACACTATTTTAATGGGACTATTTGGTTAAGATGTGTACATTGCACCTTGTCATTGGGGGGGTTAAAAAAAAAGGTTTTTCTGCATGCTATAAAGCATTATTAAGCCCCTTTGATTTCAATGAAAAAAATTAAGTAAGCCATTTTTTTTCTAAATGACCTCCACAGGACTTACTTTACACAAGCTAGATTCCATTCTCCAGCTTATCTGTGGAAAAAAGAAATCTTTATGTTTGTTATCTCCATTTTCAACTTGTTCAGCATAAATGAGTAGTTGAATTTTTCCATTACAAGTTTCTTCCCTTGGCAATTTGAGGATTTATTTATTTATTTGTGTGCACCGGAGGTGATTAAAACATACCACACATACAACAGTTTTGATTGACACAAATAGATTAGTTCTTCTAATATATGTCCTAACAGAATTTTATAAGACTCATATCTCTCTACTTCTCCACTTTTTCCATATTTGGTAAAAATAATGTATCTGTACCCTTAAACACTTAAAATAGTTCCTAAGTTCATTACTCCACCCAAAACAGAATTAGACAAAAAATGCCTAAAAATGCATATTTTTTTCCAATTTGTATTACTTCTTACAACAGGATGGCAGTCTGCTACAATAAAGAAGATATGTCAAATGGAGAAATAAGGGAGAACAAATGTATTCTTTAGAAAATGAATTTTTCATGGTGCTTTTGTATGCCAAAGTCTAAGCCTACAGTTTGTAATTCACATTTAAAAAAAAAAGCTTACAAAACTATTTTGATGTAGCTTTGTAAGCAACATGCTGATTTGAATGTTCCAAATTTTCTAACCACCTGGATAGACCAGCCCCCTGGATAGATGTACACATTTCTCAGGCCCATAATCAAAATTTGCAAACATTTCTTAGTACACTGTAATTTTACATTTTTATTGTTTGGTGAAACAAACAAGGTGCTTAAAACTGCAAGAAAAATAATACAAACCAGTGTCAGAATGGGAAAAAAGCAAAAAGAAACGAAACAGAGGAGAGGAAGGGAGGGGAGGGGAGGGGAGGGGAGGAGAGGAGCCCTGTAATTTCTTCTACAATGATGAGCAAAAAAATTTACTATTTGTGCTGCTTTGGACATTCATGGCCAAAACCTGTTTTTTCTGAACTGTTAGCTGGGTACTAGTCATTCGCTTCAGTTCCTTTTTTTAAACATTATTTAGATACTCAAATTTTCAGCAGTTCAACACACTGCAAGGTAATGGAAAATACTCCCCAAACTGAATCTGGACTGAGATCCGAAGCAAAATAAAAATAAAAATAAGTAAATAAATATCTTGCATATATGTCAAACTATCTTCTCCAAACAAAACCTTACATCTTATGAAAGAGTCAGAAAGTATAGGAAAAAACAAACAAACCACCCTCTGCTTTCTACTACTACAATACTGTTAAATCTTCAAAGATGAAAATGTCCCATTTATTGTTTTTTCTGCCTTTAAAAAGAAATTAGGTGGCAAAATCGAATTTCAAACACAGAAAGAAAATGCACATATATGAGAGCACTGGTTTAGCAAGATATCAAATATACAGTATTCTAGTGTCAAAAGTACAGGCAGAAATGTCCAAGAATTCTTGGTGAAAAAAGGGGTAATTGAGGAGTAAAAATTCTACTGGACAATCACTCACATTTTAACAGTGTATTAGTTATAACAAAAGCCAGATGGTAAGTGAGCAACAGATTCTAGTGTTCAGTGTTTGTAGCAAAGTATTTTCTCTGCTCTTTTAAATGAGGTTGAAAACACATACTCATGTATGGGAAATTTTTATGGAACTATGTTTATTCTTTCTTCCCAGCTTCTTGAAAGAGGCAGAGTTGGGACATTGATCTGATTTAAATGATAGGACACAGTGATTTGGATAAAGCCTTCGCCGTGCCTTATTCATTATCAAATAATTAATTAGTCCTCCAATCTGGCTTCATCTATTCTTTTGCCTCTAGAAAAAGTGTTTCTTGAGGGTACAATTTTAACTCCAATAATGATTTATTTGGATCCAGCTGGGTTACCTGTGAAAATAAAAAAGAACAAGACAACCTGTAAACAAAAGTATAGGTAGCCTTCAGTTACCTTTTTAGAAACAGACTAATAAACTTTCCACAATTAGTTTGATCTGTTTGCTTGTTAGTTGATATATTTAAGAGAGTCAGGAAATAGCCTTGTTATGATGCTCATAATAGTATTTGCAGCAAAACATATAGAATAAATTGTTAGCTGTATCCTTTATCTTACCTTCCAATAATGTTGTATTTTTTTAACAGAATCTAAAAATATTTGCTCTCTGATGAAACTGTTGACATTTTTATAATTTGGGGATAGAAAAATATTACTGTTTATAGAATATAGAAACCAAAGTATTCTCTTAATTTAATTGGTTTCCAAGTACATATATGAGATACATCATGTAATTATTTCACTTTGCAAAGCATTGTGGTATGACTTCATTATTCTGTTCCAATTTCACAAAAATCTCATTCTATGTTTATATTCTCCTGCATTTATTATTACAACAGGATTTGGACTAAAGGTAAATCATTGGAAATTCTACTATATGACAAGAGATTTTAATTGGGTATTTATTCTTACAAATCCAAGTTATGATTTCCCAACAGTTAATACTTAGCATGGAATGCATGGCGTGCAACCTATACCATTCAAGGTTTCTTCTGCATTCTAACTATAAATGTTACAAAATTGAAAAATTAATTACAAGGGAATGGTAATATGAATTCCATTTGACTATTTTAATGTAGTCTAAGTTTAAATGAAATCACAATATATAGAGTATGCCAAGACATACGTACGTATGTACATATGTATGTCTTGGCATGCTATTCAAAGGCTGTGTGATTGTTGTCCACCAAATGATATATAGTTAATGATATATACGTACAGTTAAAATCCATCAGAATACAGGAAAGCTGTTACAGTTTATTATGTAAATAATTTGCAAAGTATCTTGTGCTACTGTATTACAGATCTGCATTTTGGAAAGATGAATGCTGACCAGAAGAAAAATCTCCAAATCCACATTACAGCCATATGTTTGGCCAAGACAGAAAAAGGAAGAAAGTATGCTGAAGTCATTTCTACATTTTGCTATGTTAGAGGGGATGAAAGAGCAGTTTGAATACATGGAAATCGGCTCCTCAAATGGAAAGATTCCCCGGGACCCCAAAATCTGCTTGATAAAGAAATAATATTATTTCTCCATCACTTCTGAAAATATAAAATAAAACCAGATTGTCTAGCCTTTTTTCATCTTTAAACGAAATACATAATACCTTTGGTAGAAGGAAAACAGAAGGAGAAAGTAACAGTTAAAACTGATATGGCTAATTATATTTTATATACCAAGAACATCCAGTAATGACACAAGAAGTAAAATGTAGTTTACTGGAAGAGGTAGAAAAGTTAGAGTATGTTTTGTGTTATCAGCCTCTATAGGCAACAGAGGCTAGTGTCTGTATCCACAAAGGCAGCTATAGTAACTGGATGTACCTATTATGGACTAATAACAAACATTTATTATGCCATTTAATGAGAGTAACCTTTGAAACCTGGAATCATATAGCATTTATCTCTTAAACCAGTTATATTATCATTATATTGTAAAGAGAAAGATAAGGTGCTTTCACTGGAGGCTTTCAAAAAGAATCTGGACAACCATTTATCTGAAATGGTACAAGGTCTTTTGCTCGAGCAAGGACTAGAAGATTTCCAAGGTCCCTTCCAACTCTATTATTCTATGTTTTATTCTATAATTATAACATAGTTTAAGGTTCCATGAAAAAGCATTTATAATAGAGTATTATCTACAAAGAAAGCCTGGTTTCCAAAAAATATATGACTTAAAAGAGATAAGCAGCTATGATCACATAAAACCTACTGTGTTTTTACAAAACAGCCAAAATGCTAAGTTGTAGTTTGCAATTACAGGAAGGAAGCTCTTTGTTTCCGTATCTGAAGCCTTAACATTTCACTGCTATTAATACAGGCTCATTCTCTGGACAACAAGAGTAGTGCACCTGAGAAAAGAAATTAGCTGCTTCTATTTAGTCCAAGCCTGTATCTAATTAAATCCACTCACTTTCCAAATCCCACAACGCCTGTATTGCAAAATCACAGAAAGGTAAGTAAAATGAGAATGTCTTCTGTGTATCAGGCAAAAAAACTGGTTTGAAATGCAAGACCGGGTTAATAAACACTATCCTCCAGACTGTAACCAGATGGAAACTTATTTTTCATTTCAGTGTGATTAACAATGCACATCCTAATCAGAATTCTTGGATTTGCAAACTCCAGTTACCCTTAATAACAACTATGAACGATGTCCTTTTCTCAAATGCTTTCAACTTTGGAGATTTACTTGCGTACCTGTGCTAGGAAGAGATTTGCTGTCTTTCACCTTGGATTTTCAGAGTGCCTGCTGATTTTTTTTAAAATTCACCTAGGGACCACATAGTTTGCAAATGTTTACACCATTACCCAATTAACTAACAATATGGCTCTTACATCTGTCAACAAATAAAGCTGTTGTTGCTTTGTTTTAGCTCCCTGGCATTTGCTGTTCATATAGGTCGTCATTGTACTTAATTATCATGCTAGATCCCTTCTGCAGCATTTACTTTGTTATTTGTGGCATGTAAATATATTGCTTTAGCATGGAAAATAGAATCTTTAACATTTGTCTGATCAGAAGAAATGTCTTAAAAAGTATGCAACACCTCCCCCCTCCAAGCAATAAAAAAAATAAGAACAATCTTTTTGGGCCTATTCAATCGGTATCCAGGGTGCCAATGAAATCTGTCTTATTATGGTCTTCCTACCTTTCTATATTTTTTGATAATGACTGAGATATGTCAATCTTATTGAAAGATAGACTCTCTCCCAATAGATCAGTCTTAACTAAAATGAATAAATTAGAACAGAAACCAAGAGAAAAAGTCCAATCTCAGTCCTGTTCCTGATTTTGGAAGCAAAGCAGGATATCAATAAGTCTTTGGGATATAAGATACTCTGATAATATTCTTTATAAATGTACTTAAATGAATGAGATATATCATCAAAGAGATTATAGTTTAATTCTTTTACTGTAAAAATGATTTTTCCTATTCTAGCCAGCCTCAGATAATAATGTGGGAAGGTAACTTTAATTGCTACTCTGCAATTTATTTAAGCAGCCAACCTCTCTGGAGAGGGACTTTGCAATAAGTTTTACCCATTTAACTGATACTAAGCCCCACTGAACTCAATTAGACATTTCTGAATAAGCGTAAATAGCGTTGTGTTAGGAGAGATATTTATTTATTAAATTTTTATGCTGCCCATCTCATTGATATGGCAACTCTAGCTATTTTAAAGATTTTAAAGACTACATTCAATTCTGAAAAATATCATGATTCTATGGCTGCATTTGGGCTGGTGGGAACATTGAAAATTTTGCAAAAGCATCCAGGCGTCATCACGATCATTCTGCTACAGAAGCTGTCAGTTCACAAAATGGCTACCATGATGGCAAAGACAGTAACAAAATGCCCATTCTGAGAAGAGCGGACTTGGGAGGCTTAAAGATAAATAACCTGCTCATGTATCTGGATGCAAAACAATATTCTGGAAGAAGACATTTGCCCTGAATTCCCAATTTTCACAATTTAGGAATTTAGTCTCTGTTAGCCTTTATCAATTGGCAAATATCAACTTTTTTCTAAATATTTGGCAGGCATTTAGAAAAACCACACTGACTTCCACCCAAACCCCTCCTCATTCCCTCTGGAAGGAGCCCTTCCTCCTTTCTCTAGACCAGACATGTCAAACCGCGATGTCATGTGATGTCGCGCAACGTATCGGGAGAGTTTTGCCATTGCCGGCAATGGGGTGGGTGCGGCTTCCGCATGACGCGTCCGGCCCACAGGCCGGCAATTTGACACCCCTGCTCTAGACTGAATCACCATCAGCTGTCTTTAAGTCATATCCAACTGCTTGAGCTTCCTGCCATTATCCACTTTTTAGGATATCTCTAGACCTAAGAAATCTTGGGGAATGAAGCTGGCATGTAAGTTACAAGAGTAGTCATTTGCATAGATGTTAAGTTCATCCATTTTAAAGCACTGAATTTAGCAGGATATTTTACAGTATATGGTGTGCATGCATGTATGTGTATACAGCCTCCTGGGCACAAGGAAGTCAGCCTTATAGATACATATCTATTTCTGATTTCACACCTGATTTATCAGATATGTATAGTATTCATGCAAATAATTTCACAAAGCTTGAACTGATGTTTAAAACTTCCATATACGGATTGAAATGACTACCTCTAATGCAAGGAACGCTCCTGCCATCCCTTTCTTGAAATATGTATCACATAGTCTCATAAGAAAGGTTTGGCCATATCCTTGCCAATTTTCACTTTCCCAAGGAATACACTAATTGTCTTTTTCCTGCAGCATTCATTGTGTACATATTCTCCTAGACAAGGATAAATAGTTTCAGAATTGTCAATCATAATCATTAGGTTAAAGCACAGAAAACATGGAAAATGTCACCTAGGTATGGCTTTTTAGCCATTTTTGACCAATAAAATAGATTCTTCTAATGTCTAAGAACTCTCGCCAAAAATCTTTTTGTGATCTGATTTACTACGTATAGGTACAAATGTAAATGTGATTTGGTTTAGGGATTTTTTTTTAAAAAAATCATGAATATTATATAACAACTATTTCCTTTTCCTATTCAGTTTTTAAGGTTGTTTTAATAAATCTCTTTCTATTTTCTTGTTTAACACAGCTTATTTTATATATATACATTTATAAACACAACTGTATCACTTGACTAGATATAGCCTCTTAGTGGATGGGTGTGTGTGAATAAGGGGAAAATAATGGCAAACAGCCCAAGGCAGGTCATTTTAAGCAATGATACGAATATACTCATGTCAAACATGAGTAACAAGGATCATAGTCATCACCTCTGTTAACACCCAAGAACAGGATCCAATTCTCAAGCA